CTAAAGATCAAACTGTCTGGGTTATAATGTACTACCGACCCTTGGAAAATACTCTTTTGAATGGAAAATGGATAGGAAGGATATTTGGGCCATGTCAATGAAACCAAAGTTCCAAGCATTCCTTAAGCTCACATGAGACTAAAGTAATAATCAGTGCTGTTTATCTATTGGTAAATAGCACTGATTACCACTAGATAAACTTGTCTAAACTTTTTTAGTGTTATAGTGAGACAACAGAAGAGATGGTGTACAAAAATATCTTTGGTGCATCAGCAACAGGTTTTTAGATGTATTCACTTTGCAAATCTGTTAGTGAGAGAAACTGTATCAAACTTTTACAGATATAAGCAACTTTCAAAACTATAGATGCTATAACATTCCCATTGTAGAAACTAGCTGAAGACAAGCAGGGTGACTCTTAAGGTCTAACATTCTGAGGTGTGATTTCATCATGGATTTGCTGAGATACTAGATCAAAAACTGCTGTGTAGCCTCCTAATTTCTTTTTAAACTATGAACAATATGGAGTAAAACCCTGATTTCTTCCTTAGAGATGAGAATGCTTTTGTGGCTCCATTTCATAGGATATGTAGATTCATAGATGTTAGGGTCGGAAGGGACCTCAATAGACGATGCCAATAGATGACCCCAGCTAGATACTCATCTAACCTCCTCTTGAAGACCCCCAGGGTAGGGGAGAACACCACCTCCCTTGGGAGCCCGTTCCAGACCCTGGCCACTCTAACTGTGAAGAAGTTCTTCCTAATGTCCAATCTAAATCTGCTCTCTGCTAGCTTGTGGCCATTATTTCTTGTAACCCCCGGGGGCACCTTGGTGAATAAAACCTCACCAATTCCCTTCTGTGCCCCCGTGATGAACTTATAGGCAGCCACAAGGTCGCCTCTCAACCTTCTCTTGCGGAGGCTGAATAGATCCAGTTTCTCTAGTCTCTCCTCGTAAGGCTTGGTCTGTAGGGCCTTAACCATATGAGTGGCCCTTCTCTGGACCCTCTCCAGGTTATCCGCATCCCTCTTGAAGTGCGGCGCCCAGAATTGCACGCAGTACTCCAACTGCGGTCTGACCAGCGCCCGATAGAGGGGAAGTATCACCTCATGTAGTCATGTAGAATGACTGTCTGTGTGTCCTGTCTATTCTGTAGCTCTGTGCTTGATACAAGAAAGAAAAAGAAAAGAAAAGAAAAGAAAAGAAAAGAAAAAGGGTTGACTAAGTGTTTCAAAATACCCAGTTCTCAGAAGCTGATAGTGATCGGAAAGCTGACAGCTAAAGAAACCAAATATCAGAATTTCATTCCTATCACTGACCTCCAACTTGCATTTCCTCTGATGTAACTAATTCCTCTCTAATGCACTTTCTAAACTGGCTGGCATAAAGTGTTCCATTGGTTTGAGTTATAATCTGTAGTCTCCTGTAGACTGCTTATTAGGTACTGTGGTCTGCTTTTTTTTTTCCCCGCCACGAGTTCATTCCCACAGTGTCCAGAGGCTCACCGAATAGCCTCCTTGAAGCTCTAAAGACACAATACATAGTCAAACTTTTTTTTTATTACTGTTAATTCAGTCCATAAGTATCTTTTCACAATAAATTTACTGTATGGAAATGCTTGGGTCCTTGACCAAAGAACAGACTATTATCAACCTTTGGAAGAGAAAAGAGATTTGTTTTAGTCTAGCAAACACTATAACATTGCCCAATAACAGACTCTATCTTGTGGCCTTTCCTAGAAGCTCCTGTTACTCCTCAATTACATCCTCTCCTCCAAGGAAGGATTTATAGAAAAATGAAGTACTAAACTTGAAATTATAATACCAGGGGTAATAATGCTTAGTGGTTTCACTTTCCCTATTAGCTTGACTTTCCCCCTCCCCTGTAGGAATTTCATTTGGAGATCAATCCAGAATCAGCAGAAAAAATATTTGTGCTAGGTCAGAATCTGAAGTCTGACCCTCTTCCCATCCCAGAGTACTGGGATCCATGTCGCTTATGAAAAAGGTTTTCACTTTGAACCAGTAGTAGCTGGAAGAATCCTCTAAAGCAGATTCTTTAAAGGGCTGTTTGTCCTGCCCTAGTGCTTCTTTATTCCTCAACCATGGCTTTCATGCATGTATTCTATTTTTCATCTATCTTGAGAGTGAAGATAGAGGGGAAAGGAACACAGAAACAGGCTGTTTGCAAATCTTTTTCAGGGTAGAAACATCTGAGCCTTCTTTCTTATGCCTCCTCAGGTAAATAAAGAAATTTCAGCCAAACTATTTTGGGGAAAGGGTGGAGAGGGACTTGAGGTTCCTCCTTCAGGCAAGCTTTCTTACCCTGATAAATTCAGAATAGAGTTCATGGATGGAGTCCAGAGAGAGATTTTGCATGAATCCATACTTTATTCAAGGGTTTAAATGGGTAAAAACCAACCTCAGCTGTGGAGCATTGCAGATTCAAAGGAGCCTGCTTGCTGCTGTGTGAGAGACCTAGACAAATAGTGATGCCAGGGAGCCCTGAGCCACTGAAAAGCTGTGAAAAGGAAGGGGAAGTGTCAATAGTAAACTACATCTGCAGGAACTATGGAGAAAAGGGTTGAACAGTTGCTCCATGGTCATGGTGAGCAGTCAGGTTGGGAAGGAAAACTTTTCTAGCTCTGTAATTCACTCAAGCTTCCCTTCCCGCATGAGGATAACACTACATATTTCATAGATATTATGTCCAAGGACAACGATTTTCTGATAAAGAGTGCTCACATTTCTCCCTCTTCCTCAGGGCAGAGAAACTGTTTTATAGGTTCCCCAATCTTGCAAGAGGCACTTCCATCCAGGCACTCTATCAGTAAAGAAAGGTAAGAGACAGCTCCCAGCAATCCTCTTTTCCCTTCTTTGTGCAACTGGATTTTATGAGGTGGAGGTGGGTGGGCACAGCAGTCCCAGTGTCAGTAGATAAGAACAGAAACCCCTCAGCCAAAAATAGGACCTGAAAACATTGAGACTTTAGAGCCAATTGATTTGGGGGTTTTTTTTTTCATTTCCTCTGCAGCAGAGAGGAGCTAGCCTGCCCTGCTTACAGCTGTGAAGGCAGATAGAACGCACCAACTTCCCCAAAATGAAGCCACATTTCCCTTCACACTTATCAACAGGCATAATCTACTCTTCCACAGCTGCGTAGAGCAAAGGTGCAATGTTGTGAACTTTGGATCTCAGGGTGATTAAGAAAAATCCAGCTAGCCCATCTCCCTCATGAAGTCAAGCACCTAACACCCTAACTTGTTTCTTTCTACAGCTATTTTAAGCAAATAGCTATCCAGAAATATCAAATGAGATGAGCAGCTTTGTAAAAGGGTCAAAAGAAAATATTTAGAATTAAATCACAGTAGAAAAAATTATTTTCCTTAGAAATTGTACCTCAGGGCTAGTGAAAGTATGTTCCAGCGGCTCTGAGAACAATGCTGGCAGAAGACTGCCAGGAAGACCGCAACTATATAGGGAAGTTGGATGCTACGATGCTCTCCCCACCTCTTCCATAACGTGAAATCACTTGAACCAAAACTTTAGTCACCAATGTTTGCGGTATTTCATGAGTGTGCCAAGGCAGCTGGAATCAGAATTGCAGAAGCATAACTCACAACTGCAACTAAAGTCAACCTCAGTGATGCCTTGAACATACAAACAGTGTAAAAGTTGTAAATAAAGCCAGTGCCTGTTTGAAACCCAAAGTTAGTGGGTAACTTGTGTGCTTTGGCCTTGATCTCTGTATGTAAGTTTCCCCTTTGATCAAATAGGGGCAGTTCTACACTTTCTTACCTCACAGAATATATATGTTCTCAGAGAAGAAATTCTGAGTTTCAGCAGG